ACAACAGTTTCCAGCACTGATAATAAATCAGCATATTAGTATGATTTCTGAAGATCATGTGACACTGAAGACTGGAGTAATGATGCTGAAAATTCAGCTGCGCATCACAGGAATAAATTACAGTTTAAAGTATAATAAAATAGAAAACTGTTTTTTTTAATTGCAATAATATTTCCCAATATTACATTTTTTTCTGTATTTTTGATCAAATAAATGCAGCCTTGGTGAGCAGAAGAACCTTCTTTAAAAAACATTACTGATCCCAAACTTTTGAATGGCAGTGTATATGAAAAAAAAAAAAAAATGTTACTACTTGTTTCAGAAAGTAACATTCCCATAATATTTGCAAGATGATAAAATGGATTTTTTAAACGTCAGACACATTCAAAGAACATTTTTTTCGTGACTAAATGGGAACGTCTTTGGGAGTGGGAATGTTTTTATTAGCTCTCTCTGTCTGCACTCCCAGATCTCCACACTGACTCCAGAACGGGACTGCGAGGGTCATAAAACGTCCAGTTTGACTGAGACGGTGCGTTTCTACAGAAAGCTTCTGCGTGGTCCTGTGGAGCTCCTGATGCAGGATCTCACACACATGTGCACCACACACACATGAACTTCTGACACACTGAAAGCACAGATGCTCAAAGGATCCGTCTCAGTGCACTAGTTCTCCTTAAAGTGAACTTAAAGGCGATTAAGGAAATTCAAGAAGTGCAAAAAAAATGATTTGGGAAAATAACACTGGAACAGGAAAGCATTTACTGATGAAATAGAAAACCAGGGGCCGGATTCATGCAAGATTTTGTTTTTTTTAAATTAAGATCAATTCCTATTAGACATTAATAAGGAGGTTCCTAAGTGCAATTCAAAAATTTAAAGCATTTCAGATATTTTCTTACATTCTAAAATATGTTCGTTTGGCTAACGTTCCCATTTAGTTATGAACACATTATTTCTGAATGTTCTCTAAAAAGTGCTCTTTTTTAATGTTTTAAAAGCATTTTTTCTTGGTGATGCGAATGGTAATGAAAACATTCCATTCAATCATTTCGCAAACATTGTGGGAACGTTTCCTTGGAACGTTTTCTGAACATTCTAAAACAAGCAGTGACATTTAAAAACTGTTACATGGACATCAAACTAAAACGTTTCACAAAATATGTTACAATGTATAAATAATGTTTTTGTGCTAACATTTTGAGAACATTGTGAAAATCCAAATAACTTTGAACCAACATTCTATTAATGTCACTGGAAAAACATTTGTTCATAACTTTGAGAGAACCTTGCTAGAACGTTCTGAGAATGTTCACTGCTAGCTGGATCTTTATTTTTTATTAATAATAAAATGGCAAGTTTGTCTGATTGTATACTGTCCAGCTCATGAGGTCTCTTGTGTAATACAACAAATACAAAACTTTACACTACTGAATCTTAATATTGTCAATCTAAGCATAAGATGTGTTCATTTAAAAACACTCATTCATTTTGAGTGTTCATTAAAAGTGTTCATTCAGATGTGTTCATTAAAAAAGCAATTTACTTGCTAGATTATAAAAGTGAAATCCTTTTGTAGTCATATGTATTATATGTAGCGTTATGTTGTAATGTTTAATATTTGAAACAATCCAATACATTCATTAAACATTGTTTCTTTGCAAATTTAAGACAAGTTGGAGGTTATCCTAACATTAGTAAACATATACTTTAAAAGAATTTGATTTCTCAAATTTTAGAATAAATGAAATAAAATAAAGTGTTTTCAAGAATACATTCTTCACCTTTTTTCTTGAGTTTGAAAATGAAGATTTTGTAAATTCTTATAATGTAATATGTGACCCAGGAGCACAAAACCGGTCATAAGTAGCACAGATACACTGAAAAAAAAAGATTCATTGAATTTACTCAATTTTTTTAAGGTAAGTGGTTGCAATCAATTTATTTTAGCTATATTTAAATAAACACGTTTAGTTGACTAACTTTCAACATATTTTTTTTATTAAATGCAGCTAAAATAAATTGTTTGCAACCACTTACCTTAAAAAAACAATTAGTATAATTTTTTTTCAGGGTATATTTATAGCAATAGCCAACAATACATTGTTTGGGTCAAAATGATTGATTTTTCTTTAATGCCAAAAATCATTAGGATTCTTATGACTGGTTTTGTGCTCCAGGGTCACATATAATGTGTAGGCTATGAAATTAATTTTATAATATGAATATATATTTTGTAGGTTATAAAGCAAATGTAAACAACATCAGATTAATGTACAGTTTATCAGTATTTATGTAAAGTGTGCTTTATTTATGTGGCTGTCTGATATTTCTGTTGATAAAATACATGAACTCTGCCTGTGTGTGTGTGTGTGTGTGTGTGTGTGTGTGTACTTGGTTATGATACATTGTGGGGACATTTGGATAGTAAAACTTGAAATTTTTGACATTGTGGGGACCAAAGTGGGGGAAAAAATATTTAAAATAGTAAATGATGTTTATGTGAAAGTGTAAGAATGCAAACAGGTTTTCTGTAAGGGGTAGGTTTAGGGTTAGGGGATAGAAAATATCGTTTGGTCAGTATAAAAACAATAGAAGTCTATGGAAAGTCCCAACAATTCACAGAAACAAACGTGTGTGTGTGTGTCAGAATGAAGTTTTTTGAAAATCTAAAAATGCAGAAAGTTTCCTGTGAGGGGTAGGTTTAGGGGTAGGGTTGGTGTAGGACAATAGAATATACAGTCTGTACAGTAGAAAAACCATTACGCCCATGGAGAGTCCTCATAAATCATAAAACCAACATGTGTGTTTGAGTATGAGAGAGTGTGTGTGTTTAAATAGATTTTTTTTCAGAGAGAGGTGTATATTGTAAAGTAGTCTCTATTTTTCAGGTACGATGCGTTTAAATATTAAACCTTTTATGTTTTACTCTTCGCTGTGATCTTATAATTCAATATTATGCATACAGTTGTGAATTATATATATCTGGAAGATTTTATGGAAGTACACAAATATACACTTATGGGTCCAAAGATCCAGATAAGGGGATGACAGGAGCAGGAATATATATCCCTGACTTGGATATATTCATAAGTAAAAGATTATCATCTGAATTATCAATATATTCTGTTGAAATGGTCGCTATTATAGTGGGACTTATGTGGGTAGAGGAAGTGACACCAGACAGAGCTGTGATTTGCTCAGACTCTGCTTCTGTCTTAACTTCATTATCCAGCCACCAGTCATCTAGAGAAGATTTAATGAATGACATTTTAATGTTAATATGGCGAATTTGAAGGAAAGGAATTTTAATAGGATTTTGTTGGGTTCCAGCCCATATAGGGGTAAGTTGGGAATGAAATAAGTGATCAACTGGCTAAAAATGCTTTAAAAAAAAAGAAATTGTCTGTCTGTCTGTCTGTCTGTCTGTCGTTCTAACACTCTCTGTACACATCTAAAAAGGATTGTTCTCAGAACTAGCAAGTTTCGTACAAAGTTATAAATGAATGTTCTTCCAGTAATGTTAATAGAACGTTTGTTCAGAGTCATTTGAACGTCTTTAATAACAGTATTTATGTGTCAACATAATAGAAATGTTCTCAGAACGTTTTGACAACATTCTGAAAAAACCTTCTTCCTGTAACATTTTCTGGTCTTTAATAACGTTCTCAAAACATTAGCACAAAAACATTATTTGTACAATTGTTCATTTTTTTTCTGAAATGTTTTAGTTAGATGTTCTAACATATTTTAAATGTTACTATTTGTTTCAGAACGTTCAGAGAACATTCAAAAGTAACATTCCCATAATGTTTGCAAAATGATACAATGTAATGTTTCCTCAACATTCAGATAACCAAGAAAAAAACACTTTTAGAACATTTAGAAACATTGCTGACTTAATAAGAACATTAGCAAAAAGTTCTTAAAACATATTTCTGTTAGCTTTATCCATTTATCTGTTGAAAGGTTTATTATTTAGCATCTGACTGACCTTTAAAGTGATTCGTTACAGTTCGTATTGTTCCTGTGTGCCGTTTAGTGGCATTGCATCAGATTTGCATCAGAAAACAATTAATATTGGCACAGCAGCCTGAAACTAAATTTGACAAAGAAGTGTCCTCATTTGTAAGTCGCTTTGGCTAAAAGTGTCTGCTAAATGATGCTAAGTCGAGAAAGTGTGTGTGCAGTGTTATTTTAGTATTATTTATAGTATTTATTATTATTTTGAAATGGGCTTTTGAAAAATATTTTTAGTTTTGATTCTAGTTTAAATTTGAGTAATTTTGTTATGTGCTTTTTGTCATTTTTTTAACTGTTTCTGTATGGCTTATGTATTTTTATTTCAGTTTTAGTTTAGGTTTTAGTGAACAGAAACGGGGTCTGAGACTAATCATTGATAAACAGCTGAATGTGATGTAATCTGCGTGAGGTTATATATGACTGGAGATTCAGCACACGCTTCACGTTTCTGAGTATCTCTAGCCTGATTTATGAATGTTTAATCAGCATACAGTACATTACATATTAACAGTACAGTACATATTAACTGCCAACACACAGGCTGTGATCTCGCTCACATGACACAAACTCACACACACAAACTCACACACACACACACAC